ATTGGCAAGATTATTAAAATAGTTGTATGCCGGACGCCACTATTTTGCCGATCGGGTGTTTTCGGTTATTTTTAACCGACTTCAAAAAAGGAGGAGGTTCTCAATTCGTCGCGATATTTTTTTTTTATGTATGTTCAGCGATAATTATTTAATAAGGTGTCCGATTTCAATGATTATTTTTTTGTTAGAAAAGGGGTACTTCAGGGGTGGTACCATATATATTTGGCCAAAATCTAATAATTGGGTCCATGAGAAAATCCTCAAACTCTTCATTTTTTATGTATGTTTAGCGATAATGCTTTACCACCTTGCCCGATTTATATGATTCTTTTTTTGTTAGTAAGGGGGTACCTCGGGGTGGTCCCATATATAAATTTGGAACGTTTTTGAAGTCGGTTTTTTTAAATTTTAAATTTCTAAGGGTCTATTTATTCTCCCTTAGTATTAGTATTTGTATTAGTATTATGATTAAGCATTAAATTTGTTAAATCATTCAAAAAAGGTATTTATACTCGTTTTATAATTAGTATTAGTAATTCTTTTTTAAACATAATACCTAATAAGATATAATTCTGCAGTCAACAAAATATATGGTTACTGAAGAAATGTGTAAGAGGCCGATTGTGTTCTTTTTAAGATATTTTAGTTTTAAATGTGTTTTTATTAATATTTTTACTAGTTAATTTTATCTAAAAATATTATTATTCAAAAATAGGTTTAATTAAGGACATTTTAACGGATTTAAGTCTCAAATTTATAACAGATAAAAAGAAGCAGAAATTTGATACAAATCAGACAGAAAAGAGGCCTTTGCTTCCTCATGGTGACATGTCATTTGTCAACTTTATAATCGGTAAACACTGCTGATACACAAAAATTGTATACAGAGCATGATTTGTACCGAAATATTATCGTTTTCGAGCTTGTTGGAACAAACAAATAAACAAAATAATCATATGTGTGTTGTCAATTATCCTTATCCGTTGTCTATTAAAAACAAAGGCCAAATACTCCATTGATTCATTTTATAGAAAAGAAGAAATTTAATATTTAATTTAAAAGTTGAACCTGTCAATTATTAAGCATAAATATTAATGCTAATACTAATCATAAATCGAGTATAAATGTCCCCATTACATTGTGAAGGTTCAACTTAATGCTTAATCATAATACTAATGCAAATACTAATAATAAGGGAGTATAAATAGACCCTAATACTTGTTGCTGCTAAAAACTTACTGCTAACTTCACACCGGTGGTAATAGCTACCAAGCAATTACCGACGACACTAAAAACCGCGGAAACCTCGGAAGCGCTCGGAACTTTGCGAAGTCGGTAAATAGCCGCAAATATCCGTTATCGCGGGAGCAGCGAATTTGAATTTGACTATAGAGGGAAAAAGAAAAAATCAATAACTAACCCCACTTTACAAGACGTTTGTCTTTGATCGCTGTGAAAGCTGGTTATTTTTGTGACGATTTTTTATTTATTTAGTTAAAAATATTAAGTATGCAAACTCAAGGTTTTGATAACAAAATGTGTACTTTCTGCAATTTGGAGTTTTCAAATATTCACAACCAGCAAGAGGTTTCCCATGCTAAGAAATCACATATTATTTGCCCATTGTGTTTTGAAAATGAGTTAGGTTGTGTAACTTTTAATAAACTGTTATAGATTTAATGCTGGTATAAATACAAATATATGGTACTAGAAAGTTAAAACAATTTAGTTAACACAAAATCAGCTGAAGGGAAAAACAAATCTAAGAAATTGAAAATTTGGTTGATGGAAAAATGTGGCAAAGGATTCTGAAGGTTTGCTAATTTTAACCAACATATCCACTTCATTTTAATATCTAATATTTTATTATATAATTATTTGTTTTTTATAGATGGAAATACCACATTCATATATTTACCAGAAGAGGATGTGATTAAAGCACATCTTACAAAAACAATGTTTAAAGTATAAGAGGTTGTAGGTTTGGGAATTTCAGGTAAAGCCTTCTACAGGTGACATTTTTTACAAAATATTTTATAATGAATTATGTTCGACGGAATGCAGAACTTCATATTGTAGAATATGTAAGGAATGTGTTCATCGCTATAAAAGTAACTGTATAGAGTGTGCTATAAAAGCTACAGTATGTATAAACATGTAAATTTCTTATGTTATGTTTTAGGTGACGTTGCCAAACTACTATCTGAAGAAAAGCTACCAGATATTTAAAGGGGGACATAATGAAGAAATTAAAAACTTTATTAGAGAGAAGAAATCTGAAAATAAATGTTTAACTAAAATAGCTAGAGAAGCAAAGTGAGAGATACAAATTGAAACTCCATTTTTTTAAGATACTTAAATGATGAGGCATATAATAAAGTAATGGAACCATTTTTCCATGTATGCAGCTAAATATTATATGTTGGTACTTTTTAATAAGGTGCACAGTCAAATATAGTTAGTAATGGAACAAGTAATAGATCAGGGATACAGAAAAGGAAAGTGGAAACGCATGAAATTTTTTCTTAAAAAAAGAAATTGTAATGGGCTTTTGATGTCTTTTTTCTATGGTGTGGCAATAGTGACAGGGCTTGCTTTTGTACTAAATAAAAACTTATTGTAAATATGTATTTATAGTATGGTTTAGGTTTCAATTAGACGTATTTATCATTTATTTATTCTAGGTTTATCTAAATGAAATATATATAAACCTATGTATGTATAGCTTGTCTTTTATTTTTGATAAACTTTCTAAAAAACCCCTGGAACATGCTGATAATTATTGTTTTTTTTTTTGTAGAAAAAATTTTTACGAATAAGTTTCTTCTTATGGGTTGTGATCGAAATTGTAGATTTAATGAAAAGTGTAAATAAAGGATTTTATTTAATAATTTTATAACTGATTCAACGCATATTTTCTGGCCAAACTGTACCATCAATTACAACTATTTGAACCAGTTTATCAACAAATTGTTTGTATGGTCCTCTCAATACACATAGTACACAGTTAATATAACGTTTTTTAATGAAAAGTATCGAAATTACACAAAAACATTAAGAAATTGTTTTCATGTAAATAAGTAAACAAAGTAATATAACCAAACGGTCGTTGAAATTTGAGGTTAGGTTCTATTTTTTTGACGTGAAATCTGTAATAGCAAACATTTAAAATTTCCGCTAAAGTCTATCTACCGACCGTCTCCGCAAAGTGCCGAACGCTTCCGAGGTTTCCGCGGTTTTTAGTGTCGCCTAGCAATTACCTATTCTCACTATATACAGGGTGTTCCATCTCAGACGAGCCACCCCGTATAGTTCTTATCCCATAGTAATTGGAAAAATTTCCCGAAACACGTCTGATGATTTTCTTTGGGGGACATCTTTTGACGTATATATATATTTGAGGCTTGAACGAGCAACCCCCTATAAGGGGACGCTTCAACCCCTCAAAATTGATTAGGGAAGAGGGTTTGGTTGATACTTCATTTATAAGGTCTTGGAAGCCTCTTTACAAACGGTGTATGAAAAAAAATCAATTGTTTTATCATGCTTACAATCAAAAAAATCAAAACTGCGTTTTTAAATGAAATGTTCAATTTGTCTTCCATTGACTTCCATGCAATAATAAATTCTCTCGAACTAATAAATAAAAAAAAATCAAAACATTTTCTTATCTTGCCTTCATTTTTTTTGTTCTTCGATCATTTCATGTGATAAAACAATTAATTTCTTTTAAGAATGTGATTTTTTTCATACACCGCCCAGCTAGCACATAACGTTGCCAAGCCTTTCGGCGATGTTGCATTAAGGGAACGTAATAACATTACTATACAACGTAAATGCAACGTTCATGAGAAGTTGTTGAGGGAAATCAAAACCTCGCAAAACTTCTATTTGTTATTTACCTAGTTAACCTACCGTAAACATTACAAATCTGAATTCAGAACGTTTTGTTTTATGTCAATTGTCACTTGTCAGTTTTTCTTGTCAATTGTCTTTTTTAATGGTTTGTTTTTTACAAGCGTCTAGACAGACCATTTCTACTTTAGGCATTTCTTTATAAGCTTACTATAACATACTTGGTTACAGTAGTGTGGTTACTGTGGTGACATTACGCATACTATGGTTTCCCTATTATTGAATGTCATATGTCAAATTTAATTTAAGTTTGGGGATTTCTAAACGGAATTTGAATTTTAGAAACTTTAGGATGTTTTGACTTTGTTATTTTTTATTATAGTATGTTCTAGTAAGCTTATAAATAAATGCCTCGTTAGATATAGCTACATATGCTTTGGTAACATGTAACCAAAGCCGAGTAACCAAACGTTATAAAGAAATGCTCTGATTACAGAAGTATGTTCTGGTAAGCTTATAAAGAAATGCCTTTTGGCTCCGAGAATTCCGCATGCGCAGTTACAGATAATTTTAGCGCCGACGTTTAAACATAAAAATAAATGAGTCGAAACTATTTTCGTGATAAAAATAAAATATTTACCTTAACATCAAATTAAAATAGTTTAATTGATGGATATATAAAATATCTTCTATTGGAGAAGGCATATTACACGAAGAGTTTTACTTTATTTGTACTTAAATGGTTTTATATATTTTATATTTACTTTAATAACTGCAAACACAATATATGTGACTAAAATAATTGCAATACCCTTTTTTATACGTTTTAAAGTTTTATTGACATTTATTGAGATATTGACAAATTAGTTGTCCGAAACTATAATTTAGAGGAGGTAAAATAAAAAACACAATTTTGAAAACTATACTAAGATTTTTATTCGATGTCAAATATTAATACATTAATGGATTGGGTACAAAAGTTTCATTGCCATATTATCTGCTTGGATTGCATCTGGTTGCAGACTTCGCTTTTTGTTAATAGACTTTTGTTTTAAAAAGCCGTCTTTGCTTCTCAATTTTTTTATTATGAGGTACCCTAGATGGCCTAGACTGACTCTGCACAAACTGTTTTTTAGTAGCAGATATTATAGACTCAGCCGGTGCAATAAACTTTTTGAAAGCTTCCATCTGCTCACAGGATTGTATGCTGTCAATAATAATAATAATTCCTCAGAATCACATAAACAGCATCGTACCTGCAGTTTTATGTCTTCACTTGCATGACATTTACGATGGCTTTTCAAATTTTTTAAATCTGTAAAATGTTTTTGACAATCTTCACACTCAAATTTGTAAGTCTTTGGTTTTATAAGCTCTTTAACTTTATCTGTAAATAAAATAAATAATTATAATAATTTACAATTATGTAATAGAATAAATTATGTCTATAACTTTTCTTATTATATTGTCACTTCTAAATGTACATTTTAATCCCAAAATTCAAAAATGAGTATCTACCTACCGGGGTGAAATTTTTTTACATGCTTCGTTAGATTTGAGTATTTTGAGAATGTCTTTCCACATTCATTGCATACTGCCGCAATATGAAATGATTTTGTGGGAGCTATTTCATCTAATTTGTCTACAAAATAAAACATTACGTCAGTGTAATACAATATACTTATCTAAAAAAAGTAAAACAAAACAATTAGGTATCTACTCACCTGGATGAAACCTTTTGACATGAATTCTGAAATTAGAATATGTTGAAAATGTCTTTTTGCACGTAATACATGTATTATTATAATTATTTTCCATTGTTTTCAAAACTCTACTTCACGTTCTCACTTTTAAAAATAGTTAATCGTTAACTGACAAGACAAGGGAAACAAGTCAAACAACAAAAAACCCAGAGTCCCAAGACAGGATAGAATCAGCTGTTAACTTTCTAAATTTTGACGGATATTCCAGCGCTACTATTGCTGCGTTTGAGAATCCACATCGGATGCATTTTTTACATCTCGAGCGTTTTTTTATCCACATCGGACACATCTGTCCCATTACATTTACGTATACTGCATCACGTGATCAAAGATTTTTTACATCTCAGATGCATCCGATGTGGATTCTCAAACGCAGCATACGCATGCGGAATTCTCGGAGCCAAAGTAGAAATGGTCTGCCTAGACGCTTGTTTTATTTTTCGACATCCAGAATTTATTTTATAAATAATTATTATTTATACATTCGAATAGATTTGGTAAGGGTCCTCTATAAAATAGATAAATATTTTCTAAACCATTGTCTTTGTTTCAGATTACAATGCCTGATGTAAATTTATTATTTCATTCATTAAGTATCTTATTTAGTAGTCGATGCCGATGACACCAAATAAAAAAAAACTACAATAAATACAAAGAATTGCAGATCAATCGTTGTAAACCAGAAGATAAATATTTAACCGGGTAATGTTGTAGTTGAAGGGTCTGGAAATGCGCCAGTCCGCACCATTGCTGTTCCGACTAGTTCTGTCAGTATTGGAATCGTTACATAGTTGCCAGGTTATATTTAATTATTTGGAATCAGGGAATAAGCAGATTGAAATAACTATTTTACTTTTAATCATCTATTTACCAATTTTTACATCGATTAAAAATCTCATAAAATTAAAAAAATTCTAAAGATTTTCAAGTAATACGATTGTTATTTTTAATGTCAATAATACCTTTCAATAGTGATAATTACAAAATTTAAATTTAAAATCTATCAAAACTGTCTTAAGGCTGTACTTATGTCACGATACTAAATTAAGTACTAAATTTAGAACTAAATTAATGCATTTTTTAAGTACTAAAAAAATTCACGTTGCAAACAGCAAATTTAGTACTAAATTTAGTGCTAAAAAAAGTCATTAATTAAGTACTAAAAGTGCGCCGAAATGTTGCGCAGAAGTTTTTCATAGAAAAAGTTGACACGACGGTATTTTCTGTACCCTTTTATTTTTAATTAGCAACAATGTTACATTATCGCCTTGAATAAAGTTCGCTTGTTTGATTTTGTAGGTTTTATTGTGTTTTTTTCGTGGTTTTTATGCTGTATTTGGTTGTTGTCAAGTCAACTAGTGTCAAATTGATAATAAAAACACCATTTACTTGTCTGTTTTACACATAATATTTCATTTCTCTGTTAATTTTACGTATTAATACGCCAATGCGCGTGCGCCTATAGTAAATTTAGTACTAAAAATTGGTATCGTTGCAAACGAAAAAAAAAAATTTTTAGTTCTAAATTTAGTACTAAATTAATAACTTAATTTAGTGCTAAATTTAGTACTTAATTTAGTATCGTGACATACAGCCTTTATAAAACAAAACAGAATTGTTATTTCAAAATATAATATAAATCTTTATATTTATTTATCATACATTTTAATTTATAAAGGTTACAATTTGTCTAAATAATAAACTATGAAATAAAGCAAGCTAAAATGAAAGTGGAGATTTGGCAACCTGGCTTGAACAAATTCAAATTCTAGACGTCAGTGCAGAGTGGTGTGAATATGCGCATTTCTAGACCCTTCAACTACAACATTACCTTTAACCGAATGTCCGGCAACATTTTACACCAAATACTTATAAAAGGTAATTATACTTTATCGAACTAAAAATACATTTTAAAAATATTTTTTAGGTTTCCTTCGACATTCTAGGAATTTTAGAAGCAAAAGTAAATACTACAGAAGTGTAAAGAAGAATATAGAAGTTTTATAAAAAGTGAATCTATAGGTACATGATATGTCAGGTATATCAGAATTCAAGCAGTTCATTCTCTTCAACAGGCTAGATTGCCTGGAAATGCAACCATCAGTTCAAGTGAAAACCCAGCAGAAAAGTTGAGAGAAATCATAGATAATACTCTCGAGTATAATAGAATATCTTGCTAAAAAACACCAGTTGTTTTTTATAAAATCTACATATCGATGGCTCAATCAAATACTGCCACAACTAAAATACTATTATTTCGAGAAATTTCATTTTGAAATTTTGTCTCTATTATCATTATTTTGTTTTTGACATACTCTTTATATTTTATTTAAAAGCTTCGATATTTTGCTGTTAAATAAAATGATTACAATTATAAAAGTGAGTTGTTGCATAGTTGTAAAAAATTTGGGTGTTTTTGAAGAAAATAACTCGAATTGAGGCAGTTTTAGACACAGTTTGTGGCTACATTTTAAATGATTTATCTTTAAGGATATTTTTGTTTGTGGTGGTATTTAAAATAAAACCGTAATGATATTTTGCATCCATTGAACCAAAAATGTAATTGCTTTATTTTTTGACTTGTGGCGTTTTTTGATTGAGCCATCGATATATCTACTTTGGAAATCAAGCATAAAATTTGTAAAATTCAAACAAATTTCAATACACTAACATTGGTTGTTTTATTTAAAACAACAAAGTAAGGCATATTTTTTAATTTCTATTTAATTTCCTTTAATTAATAATAGGTAAACAAGTTATCAATTTCTTTTTTATTCAATGTATTGAGAAGTAAAATCTTTTTATATAAAAATATAATTTATTCTCTTCTAATAAATTGTCATATTTAGGTTACATTATAGCACTTTATAAATATCTATGCAAAAAAAGTTAAAAGGCTTGATTTAAAAAAGATATATCTCTGCGTCTTAGGTAAGAAATCAGCGAACTTAGATATCCTCTAGTAATCTAATATAATAATATGTACCTAGTCATTGTTGTATTCGTTTATTATTTTTCACCAATCTAGCTTTATCATCGTTCACCATTTAAGGTTTTAGTGAACCTTTGCAATATTGGTACCTTATTATACTATTTAGCTAATTTTGTCCAATCGTTCAGTGCTTTCTAGGTAGCTTCTTCTATCCCACATGTGTACTTGTGTTTGTGATATAAGGTGTGTTCTTTTATTCAATAATTGTTCTATCAGTGATTGATGTAATTTATCTATTCTGCAGTTGAACTCTTATATTTTAGGTTAACTTAAATGATTGATTATCCTCACACATTCGTCTATCACATATCCATCGGCTTTTAAAGTCGATGGATGCCTTGGCTCATTGGTGAACTCACCGCTGGAAAAAAGAATGATTGACACATACAATCGTCTTTCCATCACTTAATTTACGAACGGTTTGCTGCAAGCGCTGGATACAGCACTGAATAAAAGAACACGCCTACACCTACCTCTACTTTTGTGCTAATGGTACTTGATTTCAAGAACATTTTAATAATAAATTTATATAAATATTTTGTTTTATTTGAAATTTTCATGTCTCGATTGAGATTTTACTATAGCCTCAATTTCAGCCTCTCTGTATTACATTACACAATGTGTGTCCATGGATGGACTTAATTATACTTGTAAAAATATTTATTTTAAATTAAAGAAAAAGTTATTTTTCATAATTTCTCAATGTGAATCGAATTTATTTAACAAGCAAGAAATTATGAAGAATTACTTTTTTAATTTAAAATAAATATTTTCACAAGTATAGTTAAGCCCATCCGTGGACACATTGTATAATGCTGTAGATCTAATTCACATTATAACATCAATAGAACGTTTCAGAGCAACTTTCGGGGTAAGTACCGTAAAAGTGCTAGTGTGATGTTTTCCGAACTTCATTTTATAATTTCTACGAGATGTGCTATAAAAGTCTTGCAGTTGCGGACATTCGGTAGTTGCAGGGATAATAGGGTTACATTTACAGTACATTGCATGCGAGCTTAAAGAGCCTAAAATTGCAGCTTATTAACGTAGATGGGATGTTTTTGTGCTAGCTGGGCGTTGTAAAGAGGCTTTCAAGACCTTACAAATGATGTATCACTCAACCCTTCTTCCCTATTCCATTTTGAGGGGTTGAAGCGCCCCCTCATAGGGGGTTTGCTTGTTCAAGCCTCAAATATACGTCAAAAGATCGATGTCCCCAAAGAAAATCATCCGACGTGTTTTGGGAAATTTTTCCAATTACGGATAAGAAATACGGGGTGGCTCGTCTGAGATGGAACACACTGTATAGTTGTGATCCGACAGAATTAAACACTGGTCCATAAATACTGCAAAACGATTGGTTAAGGAAATCATTCAAAAAAGATGTAAGAATATTCTGGATTCAACAAAAGTTTAAATACGTACATAAACAACACTAAAAAACATTTAAAAACAAATGTCCGATTTTGAGATTATAGGTCTGTTCTGGTTTTGAGAAATAACGATCCACAACTGTCGGGCTCATGCGCAGTAGATAAAAAGTGTTCTGGTTTTTCTGGGACTACTTCGGATCTCTCAGTCCAGTGTTCTGGTTTCGTATCCGAAATAATCCGTGATTGTTGTAAACAGTCAAAAAGTGTTCATGCTTGGGAGTGTGGATCGACTCGGACTGTTTTGACCGCGCATGCGTTTTTGAAGTGTTATGAATATTGTATTGGCTTTTTAGACCATACGAAACGTATACAATCCCAAATTGTTTATTTATATGTGGACGAATGTCTCTTGTTCTTGTTTTATTTGTAAATTAAAGCAATTTTAGAATTATTAATTTTTTAATATTCTGTTTTTATTTATTCCATTGAAATGTGATGATAATGATAAACATATACATGCAAATATTATTTGAAGCTGAGCTTTCAAAAGGAACTTCATTATTATAATAAACAATAAACAAAACACCTTTATGACGTGTTCTGGTTTTCCAAGAATTTCAAACAGTCGGGGATTTTTTGCCTTTACGCATACGGTCCGGCGCAGTTTCAAAACAGTTTTCATTTTGAGAACCAGAACAAACCTACTATCTAAATTTCTCAAAAATATATTGGATGGAAGATGGCCATAATTCGTGAAATGCAATTAGGCATTCCAAACAAATGAATTACCAGTGGGCAGGTTTGGTATATCTAAGGGTGGCGACATATGGTGTATTCTATCTACTTTACGTAAAATCATGAATAATGGATCACATTTAAATATTTTATGTCAAACACAATAAAAATAATATTTAAAAAACCCACCTATACATTTCTTCATAAATTGGCAGGCTTGGCGAGTACTACTTCGAATAAAAATAGCGTCCAAGTTGCAAGACTATGTCGCTACCCCCTTAAATATACAAGAATTTCCCACTGGCACCTATTGTTTGACAGGTCGTTGGAATGCCTAATACTGGTGCCATCTATCAACAGATAGTCACACTATCGAGTTGCACATATTATTTGTAGAGGCCGAAACTTGATTTTAAATGAACGCACTTTTCTCTCACGCTCATGGAGAAACGATTATTACTCACGTTCAGGCCTCGCAACGAAATGGAGACAGGCGTAACAAAAAAGCTACAAAAAAGTTACAAAAAATGAGCCTAGTCCGAGCTGGTGCCGCTACAAATATCCGCTAAGCTAGCGGATTCGCGCTTTTCTCAGGTTCAGTACAAGCTACAAAAGGGAGACTAGCGTAACAAAAAAGCTACAAAAAAGTTACGAAAAACCAGCTGGGTCTGAATCTGTGCCGCTACTATGGAATTTATGGAAATTCAAGCTAGCAGATCCGCTGTTTTTTCGGACCTGGGCAAAGCTACAAATTCGCAAATAGCGTAACAAAAAAGCTACAAAAAATAATAATAATAATAATAAGCTTTATTGTCTAACAGGTAGTCCCATTTACAAGACAATGCAATTAACATATAATTAAAGTATCTATATAAATTATAAATAAAGTAAACAATGTTGTTTCAATACAATTAAAACAATGATTGAAAAAATGATTTATAAAACAATGAAATTGAAACAATGATTAAAACAATGATTGACGAGTACAATTAATGAATTTGGGTAAGGTCATACCAAATATATCAATATCATAATTGAAACTGGCAAGATTATTATATGTTTCACACATGTTGTAGATTGGTGATTTTAACATAAGATTGGTATTACTTTGGTTGAGATAAAATAATGTTCTTAATCTAGTGTTCTTGTTCGGAATACGCCAGCATATTTTATTTAATATTTCCGAGCAGTCAATTCTATTATTTAGCAACTTATACAAAAATATTAACATTAAATAAGATCTTCTCTCTAATAGCGTTGGTAAATCAAATTTACTCAATAACTGCGAGTTATTGTATCCACGGGGAGGATAAAGCCCATCATTTTTTAACATAAGATATTTTGCAAATTTCCGTTGTATATTTTCGAGTTGCTGGATTTGAACTGCATAAAAAGGATTCCAAATTATCGAACAATATTCCAGTTTTGATCTAACATAGCTGTAATACAATAGTTTGATGGGATCAATATTTTTGAAATTTTTGAAAAAAGCTACAAAAAACCCACCAGGTCTTGTATGGTGCCGCCACAGAGTGTCCGATAGCTTGATAGAGCCGAAAAATTGGAGAATATTACATACCACATCTATTCATACCACACTAAAGGGGATATATTGTGAGGACGACTTACCCAAGTCCGACTCACGTAAGTTCTGTTTATAAATACGGGCATTAGGCCCGTATTTATAAACAAAACTCAGCTCGTCCTTGAACGAAAATCAAAGTTCGGTTATATCGCGTAAATTTAGAGATGGGTAGTAACAAATCCGTAAATGTATTTAACAGTTACAAATTTGCTAATATCCATCTCTAAATTCCAGTGTAACACCGAACCACCTAGAACTTTAGAGACGTTGTAACCGAACTTCGATTTTAGTTCAAGGACGACTTACCCAAGTCCGACTCAGCTGAGTTTGTTTATAAATACGGGCCTTAAATAGTCAGAGACCTAGTATTTATTAAATAGAAGAAAGAGAAGAAGAATAAATAAACCAAAATTAACCCTATTTTAAACTGCTTGATTTTGTGCTTGATTAGTGGATTAAATTAAATTCTAAATACAAATACAGTGCATCTAAATGGTATTTCGTTGATATTTTTCTTTAACTGAAAAAAAAAGTTGAAAGGAAAAATGGTAAATGTATAATTCATATTGTTTTCCTAACTATATTTTTTAATTTTTAGTACTCCGTTTTACATAAAAAAGATAGTGCACATGAGGAATGTATTTGGAGTTGTTTCTGGGGAAGATATTCACCAGATAAGAAAAAATCTAACGACGATAATCAAGGAGATGATGAAAAATCTAGGTAAAATGTTACAAAAATATTTTTTTACCTACCCAAGCCATACATTGCAAATAAAAAACAATTGAAATCGTTGACTTTATATTCAATACACTACTGTTTGATAAGTTCATGGGCTCAGTGATACTAGGTTCATTACATACAATACCTATGATATAAAAAAAATACAGAGGTATGATACTTAGTTGAAGAAATCTCTTTGAGTTTGTGCATGACGTATTGTGGTGTAGAATTATGGCCATATGCAAACATATTTTAGGGGCCATATTATATGCCTCCCAAATCTAATTCTAATTTCTAATCTATACCAACTTCACTTTGATCAACTTTTAATGCTAAATGAGCAACATCCAGTCAGTCAGTTTTACATTTTTGGCGATTATAATCTACCTACAGTAACATGGGATATTAAAGATTTCTGCTCTTCAGCCTCAGCTCATCCCAGATCATTTATTTTTGTGTACTGTTTTCGATCAACTGATACCACAAATTCGTAAAAGCCACATCTCCACACCACAATAATGTAGTATCAATCAGTGTAATATCATAGCTTCATTCAAACCTCAATCTGTAGGAATATCAAGTTCATATTTACCATATCAAGTCTATGGTCTATATAATACACAGGGTGTTACGAATGTCGTAAAGTAAATTTAATTGCAGATTCTACATCTAAAAATATGAAAAAAGTTTATATAAACATGGGTCCAAAAATGCTGTCAAAAACCAGTGGAGTACAGTTTTTTTGCTAAATATAAAAACTTGCAAGCACGAACGCCACTGATGTGATTTAGAAAACAATTTTGTACATGTAAATGTGACCTTTTATAATACTTGCCTATACCAAAACTCATTTTAATAGCTCAACAGGTTATCAGTAAATGAAAGACAAACTTTTAAAGACGGAAAAGTTTTTCTTATATTTTTAGGTGTACCTACAATCTGTTATTAAATTTTCTTCACAACATTCTGTAATACCCCGTATAATGTATACTTTCAATATTATCTTTGAGAAGTCAAGGAACAAGCCTAAACAGGGTATAATTATTGAATAATAAAATAGAATATGTACCTACTTTATTTTATATAATAATAAGTTAAAAATATATATTTTGTAATATATAAAGTCAAGTTTTGGTTACGTAAAAATCAACAAAATTAAACTTTCTGCTGTTTTTTGAGGTTATTTCTTTTGCTTTCATATACATGATGATTTATTAAGGGTAGTGACTGGCCGTATTTCAGAATATTTTGAAGTAGATTTTTTTTAGAGAACTGCAAAACAGGTCAAAGTATACACCTTTTTTAATATCCTCAATTGTCAAATGTCATTCCTTTCTCCTCCGCCAATCTAACGCCAAGGCTGCTCAACTTTTTTATCAGTCTGGCCAAACAGACGATTTGGTCATTTTTGGCAGGCCACTGATGGTTACTATTTAAATTACTTTTAAGACTTGCGCAATAAAAAAACCAATATTATGAACTCAAATGGACCTTTCCCATTATTGATGATCTCTATTACTCATGTGCAAATTCTATACGCTTAAAATCATCAAAATTTATTGACACTTTTGGGTGTGTTGTTTATAAAAGGTAAAATTTCATTACAAATATATCGTTCATTCTTACCTTGTAGAACATGTAAATAGTTTGCTATGTAGTAGTGGAGCCCTCGCAATGGCGTTTTAGAAAAGCATGTGTAAAAAATGCTGTCATAAAAGCGCAAACTTGAAACTTTCAGATATTATTAATATCAAAAGTTAATAGGAAAAAGTTTCTTGAAATTTGACTTGCAGTAGGTACCTTCTTGCTTGCTGACAGGGAATTTCATGGCTAGATTGATTGCAACAAAGTACTTTCATCTTCTACGTGGTAAGAATTAACAATACATTTATAATTTAGCTTCTTGAAAATGTGTACTAAACAAGTTTCACTGCCATTCAGGCATTCAGACTACCTTGTGGAATTCTTGCTTCATTATCCGTTTCAGATGATATCTAATCATTAAAACGCACTTTCTGTTTGAGATATTCTAAATAATTTCTAAGCCACTCAACACTCAATCACTGTACCCCCTATACCGTACTGCTTAAGTTTAGAAATCAGTATTTCCCTGTCGATTGTCTCAAAATTATGTTTTATATGGCTAAATTTTATTTTTCGTAATATGGTCCAATAATTGTTGATAATCAGCAATTTCTTCTAATAGTTTTTCTATAGGAGGCAAAGTATTGATTGATCGAAATTTTTCAGCTTGTAGAGAAGTACTTATTTTTAATACATTAGAAATCCTACCTGTAGTGAGAGGAAAACGTCCAATGGTTTCAACAATTTCTTTCGCCAATTAATGTTTCATGTAGTGATAATTTATTATCTAAACTGTCCACCATTTTCGCAAATTCTCCATGGAAAGCATTTAAAATTTTTGAAATAAGTTAAACTCGAGGTTAAACTGTCCTGTGTAAACATTTTTTTGAACGAAATGTTTTTCCAATAATAACGCTAGTTCATTAATAACACTTTTTTTAGTTTTATCAAATTGTTAATAAATGGATTTACGCGTGTTTAATATGGAGTGTTTTAAATGTTTTATCTACTTTTTACCTACCTAATAACAAAAAAACTTGATAATATAAAATGAAAAGAAAACGAGAAGAATTAAATATGTCAACAATACTCCTGTAATTATTACAAAAAACTAGATTCGGGCAAACTGGCTGTTTATTACCACAACGTTAGAGGCCTTCGAACAAAACTATCCCAACTATGTCTCAATGTTACAAATTCTTCTTACGATGTAATTATTCTTACTGAAACATGGCTCACAGCTGATATCAAAGACGCCGAATTTGGTCTTAACGGTTTTAATATCTACAGACGCGATCGTTCCCCCCTGTCCAGCATCTTTAGCAGAGGTGGAGGTGTTTTAATAGCTGTTAGGAAAACGTTCTCCTCGAGTATCATCAACTCTAACCCATCTATTGAGCAACTGTTTATTCACTTGGACCACAGAAACTGCAAACATATTTTAGGGGCCATATTATATGCCTCCCAAATCTAATTCTAATCTATACCAACTTCACTTTGATCAACTTTTAATGCTAAATGAGCAACATCCAGTCAGTCAGTTTTACACTTTTGGCGATTATAATCTACCTACAGCAACATGGGATATTAAAGATTTCTGCTCTTCAGCCTCAGCTCATCCCAGTTCATCACTATCGGAAGAAGGTGCTATCGAAATCGTCTCGAACATATGCGCTTTTTACAATCTTTTTCAGTCCAACAAAGTGCTCAACCAAAGAGGAGTTATTCTCGACCTTGTTTTGTCCCCGGTGGAACTTACAGTGATGGCAGCCGTTGATATATTGATCCCACCTGATGTTCATCATCCTCCTCTTGAAACTTCAATTCAATATAAGATGAACTCAAGTGATGCTCCTGGAGAAGAGAATTATTATGATTTTCGCCACGCCAATTTTGAGCGTATACGCCAATGTTTGGAGGCAATGGATTGGGATGCGCTTTTTCAAGGAAAGGAACTTTCAGAAATGATTCTTACTTTTTATTCCTCCCATCCTACTCAGAAATTGCAGTTTCGTATTATCTCGCCCTCTCTTCTATATTTTCAATAAATCTATCGCCACAGGTGAGTCTCCAGATTATTGGAAACTATCTTATGTCACCCCAATATACAAATCGGGTAGCAGGTCAGACGTCAAAAATTACTAACCTATATCTATTCTCAGTTCTATACCTAAGGTTTTTGAGAACGTTATAACAGACTATTTTTTACCTATGACTGCTCTGGCATCATAACGGATCATCAATATGGTTTTTGTGCTGGGAAATCGACTGAATTAAATCTAGTTACCTACGTCGACTTCCTGTCGGAAGCTTTGGAGAAGGGTTGCCAGATTGATTCTGTGTACACTGACTTTTCTAAGGCTTTTGACAGGGTTAACCATTCTCTCTTACTTCAAAAGCTCGATAAATATGGCATAAATGGGGTCTTACTGCAATGGATTAGTAGCTATCTTACAAACAGAACTCAAATGGTTGGAGTAAACCATCACTATTCAAACTCATTTCAAGTTACCTCAGGTGTTCCTCAAGGATCACACCTTGGTCCCTTATTATTCAACTTATTTATAAATGATATCATTCATTGTTTTCAGTATGGCAAAGCATTATTGTTTGCAGATGATTTAAAAGTTTTCCTAACTATTTAAACCATTTATGATGCCCTCTGGCTTCAATCTGACCTTGATAATCTATCAAACTGGTGTGCCTTAAATGGCATGGATTTGAATGCTATAAAGTGCCATGTCATGCGCTTTTATCGATCATCCCATGTACCAACTACTACTTTTGATTATAACTTAAATGGTCATATCTTGGAGTCTGTTAATCAAATTAAAGACCTTGGAGTTATTCTAGATCCCACTTTAAGCTTCAATCAACACATACCTAAGCCTATTATAAATCCATAAAAATGTTAGGTTTTATCAAAAAGGCTAACACATGATTTTACTGACATAACTGCAATTAAAGTCCTTTATTGTTCACTAGTCCGACCTCACCTAGATTATTGCTCATCTGTCTGGTCTTTACATTACATAACGCACAGCAGACACATAGACCTGACATTACTTTTCAAAATTATCAATGGCAGATGCAGCTGTACTAAACTTCTAACAAAAATAAATCTGTATGTTCCAACGCGCTCAACTCGACAGCAACAAACATTTTATGTACCTTTTTATCGTTTAAACCATACTTTTAGCAGCTGTATTCCAAGAATGTTAAGATTAGCCAACACTCATAAGGATCTTGATATATTTATTTATTTATTTCATAAATTTATAAAGCAATTACTTAGTACTGAGCTTTAATTTTTAATCTTTAATTTTAATGTTTAACGTAAATATTTTATTCAACCTTATTGTCTTTTAAATCTTTTAAATTCTTAACCTATTTTATGAATTATACCACGATTGTATTTCAGCACCATATATATTTCACTACAATTTAATTATAATTTTAAAATTGTAATTTATTTCTCAAATGGGCTTGCCCGTAAATAAACAAATAAATAAAATATATACTATCGAGGATGCCAATCACAAGTCGGTAGTTTTTCTACTCGACCTGTAACTGGCAACTTCGCTACTATATATATTTCTATTTTTAAGAATGTATTAATGCAATCGGGCCATTTCAAAATGTTTACGTGTTTCCATCTTTTAAGCTGGGCGCATTGTATATCGTTTAATCAGGTAAAAAGAACTAATGTACTAAGCTGTAAATGTAGAAATAACAACTGTCACTCTTAAAAAAAAAAAATATGCAAGAGAATTGTTACAGATGAAATCAATCCTCTTGTGCCTAAACAGTTCGTAGTACATTAGATATATTGGCACAGAAGTTGTTGCTAAACATTTTTTATGAGTAAATTTTGAGTGGAGTTTAGGCTGAAGGACCTCGGTCAATGGCCTTTTGTAACTTTTAAGTTTCAATAAAGCACTTTTATTATTATTATTATTTTGAGTGGAGCCGCAATATTGATTTTAAAGTGATGTAGGACATGTTATACATCATTTTAAAAAGCTTGATAACCTTAACGTATCATTGTCAAATATTTGAACAATAATTTTATTTGTAAATGTAATAAAGAAAACGATGCCACCCATTCATTAAATATAAAAAACATTTATTTAAAAATACAGCTTGAGCTGTTTTATAGAGGTTTTGAGAGAACTATCTCTCGATCTGTAACAGTAGATAGTCTTGTCACTTACTGCCAAGTAAAAAATTCGTTACAAGGTAATATCCAAAACATTTTTGTTAGAAAAACAGGTCTAAAACTAAATTCAATTAAGTTTTTGTTTTTTTTTTATAGAGACTCCATTATGTCTGATGAACCACCTGTTGACTACATTGTTACTGGAGGTGTGGATGACTTAGTAAAAGTTTGGGAGTTACAAGATGATCGTTTAGTTCTTAAACATAAATTGGAAGGACATTCTCTGGGCGTTGTATCAGTTGCAGTAAGCAATAATGGAAAATGTAAGTAGTACAAAAAATTAAATACTGCTCTAATTATAGCTTATTTGTACCAAAAAGTTGAAACGGAAATTAGCGGACTAACAACCTTTTTTAATATTTCAGTTTGTGTTATATACACGCAAATAAGTTTCAAATAAAAGTTATATGGATTTAAGAAAATACGTATTTTAAAAATATTTTTGGATATACAGGTTTTTGCGCTTTTGCTTGGCAAATAAAAATGTATATATTTTAAATTGAACACCTTGTATTTTCAGTTTTAGAATGCTTTGTTAATACTACATTCAACCCTAATTTTTTTTTAAATATTGCGTGGTTGCCAAGCAATTAATTTTTTTATGAAATTTGAGAATGATGTAGACCCCAAATTAAATTATCACAATTTAGGTAGGTTTACAATGATTTAAAAATTGTTTAAAATACAGGCTTATGAGATAGTAAGCTAATGAATAGTGTTGATAGAACTCAAATATTTTATAAACAGTGTTTTGAAAAAATATGGCTAATTTTAAATTCAATTTAATCAATTTTTTCAAATACAATACCCTGTACAATATTTTAGCATAAAATTACTTAATAAATTCACCTATTCAACAGTACCAACATGTTAGCCAATAACACATATACGTAATTGATCGATAGCTGTTTTATTATTGGAAATATGAAGACAATTTTTAATATAAAAGTTGTATGAGCATATCTAATTATTATTCTTAAATATACAGGGTGGTTCATACAAACCTATACATTTTTAAAGCAAAACACCCTCTGGGTAGTTATACATATTTGATTGTTTTTACATCGTCAAGCAATTTTAATAGACTTCAGTCATTTGCTATGTTGTATATAGGGCATATTAAAAAATGCAATGTTTAGATTTTCTCAATTTTTTTATATGAAATGCCCTGTATGTTATACACTAGTTGATTAATACGGATATTACATTTAAAAAATTGAGAAAATTATAACCCCGCGTTTTGACACACCCTATATACAATATAGCAAATAAATTAAATTGATTAAATTTATTTGAGGATGTGGAAACAATCAAATTTGTATAAATACCTGTATGCTTTAAAAAAGTATAGCTTTGGTCAGTACTTTGTTTAGGGACCACCCTGTATTTTTAAGAATAATTTTTAGATGTGGTCATACAACTTTTATATTTATAAATTTCAATTACACCCTTTATATGTATTATTGGCTAAAATGTTGATATGTATCGTTGGATAGGCAAATTTATAAGGAATTTTATGCTAAAATAATATACAGGGTATTGCATTTGAAAAATTGAGTAAATTGAACTTAAAATTAGCTATATTTAAGACATATTTCAAAACACTCTGTATAAAATAAACCAGTTCTATCGCCATTATTCGTTAGCTAAGTCTCTATATTAAACTATTTTGAAATCAATGTAAATCTACCTAAATTATTATAATTTAATTTGAGGTCTGCATCATTCTCTTTCATAAAAAAATTAAATGCTGGGCAACCCTGTAATGTTTTTCTACTTAAAAAATACACATTTTTATTTGGCAAGCAAAAATATTTTCAAAATATGTATTTCTCAAATCCATATAACTTTAATTTAAAACTTTGGCGCAATGACATATGACAGCATTCTTCGCAAAAATTCAGTAGTATACGGGTGATTCTCGCCTAACTGTGATTTTTACAACTTACATTTTTCTAAAATTAAAAATGTTTCAAAACGTATGTTTTACGCGTTTTTGTTTTCTATTTATGCATAGAAATAAGCCTGTAAAGTGGTTCTACTACAGCTACGACACAACGAAAACTGTGACAAAATTTAAAAATTTTAATGCCACGGTACTGACATTATTTCCACGGTACTGACATATAAATGATTATTTTTTTTTTACCAATCCAAAGATTGGTATAAAATTGCAATAAAATTCAATGCAGTATGCATTAGATTGTAGTTATAAGAGGTAAATTTTATATTAAAAAATGAATTTTGATAGAAATTTATATATTTAATTTTAAAAATGAGAATCGGACATGCCACGGTACTGACATTTCTAATATATTTATATGCAGCTTAAAAAAAATTACGAAGGTTTATGATCTAATTCATAATGTCGGTTGTAAAATACCTCTAAATTTATAATATTATTAACTTTTTGATGAGGAAAACTTATGCTAAACGATAAATAAAACACTGGACATAAAAAATCACAGTTAGGCGAGAATCACCCATACACAGTAGATCTTATTTCAGTTAAATCAGAGGATATTTTTTTTTAGTATGTGCATCTAGTTCTTTAGATTCGAGTATGAGGATATGGGACTTGGAAAAAGGTGAAAAAATTGCTAATGTAGATGTTGGGCCTGTGGATTTGTGGACCGTCGCTTTCAGTCCAGATGATAATTATATTATTTCTGGATCTCATGCTGGAAAAATTACATCATATAGTGTAGTTACTGCTAAAGCTGAGCAAACATTTGAAACTAGAGGAAAATTTACTCTCAGTATTGCCTATGTAAGTATATAATAATTGTTATATGACTCTAACAAGTATATTAAAAATAATACATATTTGCAAATAATAATATAGTGTTACTGCCTTAATTTCAACAATTTATTAAGCGACCAATTAAAAGGAACATAGCACTTTGGGGGGGGGGGGGGGGGGGTTAACGTTGGCATCGGAATGACTCCATTTGCCACAGAATATTTAATGTTTATTAATATTCTTTTAATTATGGTAGTTTACTATAGATGGAAATGGTAATGTTCTTTAGTAATCAAACTTACTTTAAATGTTTATGTTAGATTTTTTTATATAATCAACTAACTGATTTAAAACTTTTTTATTTTACGAACAAAGGAAACATGTAATATTTAGAGGTAGAGTGATTCCCAGTTTTTAAGTTGTTTATAAGTATATTTCTATTTTGTATATTGATTGGGCCTATACATTCAGTCAACAAGAGTTACCAAATTTCAACATATCGCCGAAAATTCTTACATTGCGGGTGTAACATTAAATATCTAAAAAGTTCCTGCAACTGGACGAATAGAAATTAAAAGCTGGTATTCAGCAGAGCTTTTCATCCTTTTATTAGTGAGGACTGGGTGTATGAAACACTTTTTAATACGATTTCCATGGTCGTAGTTTACATTAATTAAAATACAGATAAGCAGATCGTTTAAAATCGTATTAAAAATAAAGTGTTTTCAAAACCCATGTACCTAGACCTCGCTAATAAAAAAGTGACAGCTCTTAATTTCTATTCGTCTAGTTGTAGGAAATTTTTAAATAATATTTAATTGGTGAGACTCTGAATGTATACGCCAAATCACTGTAAATTAAATTCATAGTAGATGTGGACTTTAATAGCAAGCACATGTTCATGATATGCAATAGAGTGGCTTTTTTTTTCGAAAACAAAGCTAGTTATAAAAAAAACATAAAAGACCAAAAAGTTGCAAAAACTACAAAAACTATAAAAACTACAAAAACTACAAAAACTACAAAACTACAAAAACTACAAAAACTATAAAAACTACAAAAACTACAAAAACTACAAAAACTATAAAAACTACAAAACTACATAAACTACAAAAACTACAATAATATTGGCTATGGTGCCCACTGAGACGCCACTGGATCGACCCAATAATTTCAATCTATTTAAGGCTAAATAAGCACATTATTACTTCAAATAACTATACCAGATTTCAACCAAATCAGTTTAAGGATATTTATATTTATATAAAATGCCCATTTTTTAACTTCAGCGTCATGTCTCAGAGACGAAGCAACAACGGACATAAGTTCATAGGAAGTTTTTTTCATAAAACGACCTAGAGAATCACCCTCAGAAGTTTTTTCCGTAGTTAGGTAACACCCTGTACAATCGTTTCCTAATATTTTTTTTATAATTCTGCTCATTTAATAATTTTAGAAAGAAAGGAAGCAGTTTTTAAATTATATAATATTAATTTTCAATTACAAAACAGATCTATTGCTTTATATTTGAAGTAGAGGTTAAGAGAAGAACACCATGTATACTTTAAATTTTATTAAAATATGAAAAGACTATACGCGTTGCAAAATAAAACTCAAAAACAGTCATATAGTACATCTCATGATTTATCTTTACATGGTATAGGCTAGAGCTATACATCATGGAATTTCTAGTGGGGAGTTATAGTTTAAAAAAAATATATTACTTTATCTTTCAATAGAAAAATCGCTAATACTAACAGGTCCATATTTATGATCATTTTTCCCAGCCATCCAATCTTCAATTTCTTCAACTGTTCTTGGCACTTTTGTTAGACTGACCATTCCATTCTCAGTAACTAGTGCATCATCTTCTATGCGAACCCCACCAAAACCTCTAAATCTCTTAAGAGTATTTGGAACTATAAACCTTGATAAATTAAAATCCTTTAAAGCTTTATCTAATATAGGATCTATGAAGTAGCATCCAGGCTCAATAGTAATAATCATATTTTGCTCCAATTTCCTTGCAGTTCTTAAGTTTTTTAATCCAGGTGTAGGAAGACGTTCAGGATGCCCTTCTAAATACCCTCCTACATCATGAACATCCAGGCCCAATAGGTGTCCTATCCCATGTGGTTGGAATACAGCAGCCAAATTTGCATCTACCATTTCGTCTATGCTCCCTTGCAAAAGTCCCCCCTTTTTAAGCTGTTCTAATAGTACTCTATTAGCCAATAAATGCATGGCTACCCATGACACCCCTGGTTTTGCAGCTCGAAATACTGATGTGTTTGCCATTAAAACAGCTTCATATATAAATCTTTGATCTGCAGAAAATTTTCCACCTACAGGAAAAGTTACTGTGATATCTGCTGAATAACCAAAATAGTTTGCACCCATGTCAAATAAACACAACATACCATTTTTTAATAGTGAGTTATTTGGATGACCAGCATGTCCATAATGTATAATAGCAGAGTTAACACCAGATCCGCATATACTTTGATAGGATGTATTTCTACAACCACCATGTTGGTAGCAATAATGTAAAAATTCTGATTCGCACTGGTATTCATATAGTCCTGCTCTAGCTATTCTCATGACATGCCTATGAGCTGCAGAAGATATATCTATGACATACTTCATAACTTCGATTTCGTAATTTGTTTTAATAGCCCTAAGATTACTTATAATTGGATAGAGAATATTCTTCTCCACATTAAATTTATTAAGTCCTTCGAAATTAGCTTCTTTTGTTTTAAGGAGACTGTCCGAATTTATACCACTTAGTGTAAGCAACACTGACCTATTTAATTCTTTAATCGTTTGACTAAGATGATCCACATAATTAATATAATTCACCTTATATTTTTTTTTAAATTCTTCTAAAGTTGGTAGAGGTCCATTCCAAACCGCGTATTCTACTGGATACTGAGGGACGAATAGATAAGAATCTCCAGAGACGACATCTATGAGTCCATAACAATCAGGTTCTATTACTCCAAAAGACCAAAGGAAATAAGATTCTTGTTTGAATATATAAGAGCCGTCAGTATCATAAATAGGTTCATTAGATCCTCCTTGAAGTACTACAGCGGAATCTTCTTGTATTTTCTGTAGTTCTGTTACTAATCTTTTCCTATTCATTTCATATAATAAAGGAGGTATGTCTAATGTGTGTGGTCCCATGCTTAGTTTTCCTGCTATATCAAACTGATCCTCATACATTTTACTTTCTAGCGAACTAGTATAATTTATTATAATAATAATTAATTGACATTTCTTTAATTTGTGGTTACTACAGTGTCACTAAACTTGGATATGACAGTAAAAATCAACGACGTCATTACCAACATTAAAAAAGTAATGTCAAAGATCAACGAAAAGAAAGAAGAATTACTATTCTTTTTTATCATTCTTTGAATAATTATCTTAGGGCCTCCGAATGTTGCAGTGTTCTTAACGCCTTTTTAGATTTCTCACGCTACTACAGTGGATAAAATTTGGCTAGTTTACGAAGACTTTTCTGAACTAGCTGTTGCCCGCGGCATTTCACGCGTGGAGTCGTGTTTATAATATAAAAAAATGCACGACTTAAAAAAGGAGCCATATATTTTTTAGGTTTTTAGATATGTATGTGATAGTATTATAGATTAAAGTTAAGCAGGGTATTTTTATTTTTAAGTATATATTAATCTTATTACGAATCTCTTTCTATACCGCATTTGAATCGGTCATTTGAGAAACACCATAAGTCAGAAATGTAAAAGTGGGAAATTAAAAAAAACTTTCTTAAATCGTCTGTGTGTGAAACAAAGCATTGATTTCTTTTTCCTAAAACTGCGAGATTGGTTTACCATTTGATAGTATCAAAACTTGTGCTTTTTTTCTAAAGAGTCCAAAATATTTGTTTTTTGAAAATTATTGGGTTTCTCAAATATACGGATATTATTTTAATTTATTTAACAAGAATTTTATTTAATTTAAATTTTGATCTAAAACCTTATTTTTATCAACAGTTGGCCAGTTATAGTTACCTTTATAAAATTCAAGTACGTCTTCTCATTCCGGAAGATACTGCTTTAGTTTGACAAGATCATTCATCTGTTAATAGGTATTTTTCCAACATAGGCCTATTTGACAGGAAGAGTCAAGGCTTGCGTTGATGTGCGTCGAAATGTATCACATGTCAGTCCATCTATTGGAAGATTTTGTCACAATAACTCCATTTTCAAAAAAATATTTAAAATGTACATACTGACTTATGTTAAGTGATATCTTTTTATCTTGTGATACTGCTTGTTGAATTATATTCAACATTGCGCTAAGCTTTTATTCTCAATTCTTTATTATTCCTGGAAACGTTCCTGCAAGCCACACTGCCTTTTACTCCTGGAGACGTCTCTGCTGTACTGCCTTGGTCGATAAGAACGGTCTTCCATCTAATAGCTACGTCATAGGCGTCATTCACTTCTTGTCCACTTCTCATTGGTCACCCATACCCGGCAATCGCCCTCATTGGTTAAAAACACCAGCGTTAGGCACTTCTTAATTGGTCAACGTTGAGCGTCACTCTCAATCTAGCTGAACAACTTCTCTTCCGGCAGAGCTTCAGTACCTTTCAAACACAACACATCGTTCTGCGGTGTACGAGATGGCTTGAGTGCTTAAGTAACAAATTTCCGAAGAAAGTCTGTACATAGTGTAAAAAGTATGTAGTTTATAAATGAACCATATAATATAATTAACATAGTTTTAATAGTGTTTTAAAATAAAGTATGTAGTTAGAAAGTGATGTTTTTACCCAAGCACTAATTCTTCCATCCCTACGGATCGCTCAGGTATTTCAACATAATTTCGGTCAATCTGCGACAGCTAATTGTATTAACTTGTGAATCTGCCATTTTTGGAATATGCCAAATTTGTGACTTATGGGCTTTCTCAAATGACCGATTCATTTCTGGTACGGTTCTCATCTATCACTAGATTGCATGCGAAACTCACTCTCTAACAGGTCATATAAAACTGTCCGTCCTTCCTTAGGCTGTCAAGACATCGTAATTTTATCAATTCACTTCTCATATTTTTCATACCAGGGCATAAGACGTTCTACTTAATTGTTTTAAAATATTTTTACTATTTATTTTTATTTATTTTCATTTGTTTTCATTTATTTTCATTTATTTTCATTTATTTTCATTTATTTTCATTTATTTTCATTTATTTTCATTTATTTTCATTTATTTTCATTTATTTTCATTTATTTTCATTTATTTTCATTTATTTTCATTTATTTTCATTTATTTTCATTTATTTTCATTTATTTTTATTTATTTTCATTTATTTTCATTTATTTTCATTTATTTTCATTTATTTTCATTTATATTTATTTATTTTCATTTATTTTCATTTATTTTCATTTATTTTCATTTATTTTCATTTATTTTCATTTATTTTCATTTATTTTCATTTATTTTCATTTATTTTCATTTATTTTCATTTATTTTCATTTATTTTCATTTATTTTCATTTATTTTCATTTATTTTCATTTATTTTCATTTATTTTCATTTATTTTCATTTATTTTCATTTATTTTCATTTATTTTCATTTATTTTCATTTATTTTCATTTACTTTCATTTATTTTCATTTATTTTCATTTATTTTCATTTATTTTCATTTATTTTCATTTATTTTCATTTATTTTCATTTATTAACCGACTTCAAAAAAGGAGGAGGTTATCAATTCGTCGCGATATTTTTTTTTTATGTATGTTCAGCGATAATTCTTTAACACGGTGTCCGATTTCAATAATTCTTTTTTTGTTAGAAAGGGGCTACTTCAGGGGTGGTCCCATATAAATTTGGTCAAAATCTAAAAATTGGGTCCATGAGAAAATCCTCAAACTCTTCATTTTTTATGTATGTTTAGCGATAATGCTTTACTACCTTGTCCGATTTATATGATTCTTTTTTTGTTAGAAAGGGGGTACCTCAGGGGTGATCCCATATAAATTTGGTTAAGATGTTGTGATGGCATCTGCACGTTTTTGAAGTCGGTTTTTTTAAATTTTTAATTTACACTTGTATTCATTTATTTTCATTTATTTTCATTTATTTTCATTTATTTTCATTTATTTTCATTTATTTTCATTTATTTTCATTTATTTTCATTTATTTTCATTTATTTTCATTTATTTTCATTTATTTTCATTTATTTTCATTTATTTTCATTTATTTTCATTTATTTTCATTTATTTTCATTTATTTTCATTTATTTTCATTTATTTTCATTTATTTTCATTTATTTTCATTTATTTTCATTTATTTTCATTTATTTTCATTTATTTTCATTTATTTTCATTTATTTATTTTCGTTTATTTATTTTCATTTATTTATTTTCATTTATTTATTTTCATTTATTTATTTTCATTTATTTATTTTCATTTATTTATTTTCATTTATTTATTTTCATTTATTTATTTTCATTTATTTATTTTCATTTATTTATTTTCATTTATTTATTTTCATTTATTTATTTTCATTTATTTATTTTCATTTATTTATTTTCATTTATTTATTTTCATTTATTTATTTTCATTTATTTATTTTCATTTATTTATTTTCATTTATTTATTTTCATTTATTTATTTTCATTTATTTATTTTCATTTATTTATTTTCATTTATTTATTTTCATTTATTTATTTTCATTTATTTATTTTCATTTATTTATTTTCATTTATTTATTTTCATTTATTTATTTTCATTTATTTTCATTTATTTTCATTTATTTTCATTTATTTTCATTTATTTTCATTTATTTTCATTTATTTTCATTTATTTTCATTTATTTTCATTTATTTTCATTTATTTTCATTTATTTTCATTTATTTTCATTTATTTTCATTTATTTTCATTTATTTTCATTTATTTTCATTTATTTTCATTTATTTTCATTTATTTTCATTTATTTTCATTTATTTATTTTCATTTATTTATTTTCATTTATTTATTTTCATTTATTTATTTTCATTTATTTATTTTCATTTATTTATTTTCATTTATTTATTTTCATTTATTTATTTTCATTTATTTATTTTCATTTATTTATTTTCATTTATTTATTTTCATTTATTTATTTTCATTTATTTATTTTCATTTATTTATTTTCATTTATTTATTTTCATTTATTTATTTTCATTTATTTATTTTCATTTATTTTCATTTATTTTCATTTATTTTCATTTATTTTCATTTATTTTCATTTATTTTCATTTATTTTCATTTATTTTCATTTATTTTCATTTATTTTCATTTAATTTCATTTAGTTTCATTTATTTTCACTTATTTTCATTTATTTTCATTTATATTTCCCCCCCCCCCCCCCCCCCCCTTAAAATGTACAAATCCAAAAACTGTATTACATCATTATTTATGATGAGTAGCTACAATTCCAATTTTCAAGTTCCTATCTTTAAAAAATCTATAATGCCATACAAACGTTCACCCCCATTTCGCCCTTAAATGTAAAAAATCCAAATACTCTTTATTACGTCATTATTTATTTATGATGAGTAGCTACAATTCCAATTTTGAAGTTCCTACCTTTAAAAAATCGATACAAACTTTTATCCACTCCAATTTCCCCTCTTTAAATGTAAATATTCAAAAATACGTCATTATTTATTTATTTATTTATTTATAATGAGTAGCTACAATTCCAATTTTCAAGTTCCTATCTTAAAACATATCTATACTCTGATACAAATGTTCTCCCCCATTTCCCCCTTTATAATGTAAAAATCCAAAAATCTTGAAATACGTCATTATTAAGTATGATGAATAACTACAAAAATTCGATACTCCCATACAAACTTGCTCCTCCTTAAAATGAGATGCCATAGCATACTGATCTAGAGTATTATATTATTTTTTCCATGTTTCAGAGTCCTGATGGAAAATACATTGCTAGCGGTGCCATTGACGGTATTATTAATATTTTTGATGTGGCAGCGAATAAATTATGGCATACATTGGAAGGACATGCTATGCCTATACGTTCGCTTTGCTTTTCGCCAGATTCTCAATTACTGTTGACTGCTTCTGACGATGGACATATGAAACTCTATGATGTGTAAGTTGAACATAATCCATATTTTTGTACTATATCTGAGTATGTTTTAGTTTTTTTTTTTTGTACCATATATCAAGAAATATTTGGGTTGGAAAAGTTACTTTTTAAAAGGAACTTTTATTAAAATGAAAATATTCAATTACAGTTACTAAATAATTAAAACTAACTTTTATATTAAATGGTACCAGAATTTATATAAAAATATATGCTGAAATGTAAACTATAAAAATGCAAAATTGTAGAGTCGCAATTTTGGAATGTTTGTTAATCTTTAAATAATACTGTGCAGAGTTGCAATTTTGTAGAACACTGAAATGAATCGAATTTCTTGTTGGTGGATATGGGATCAACGAATCGTATCTTTTCCACTTCTCAAAGAAGTTTTGTAAGGGACGACGGATACAACTTTGAACTCGGCAGCCTCCGGTCTAGTTTCTTTTCCCACCTTTCCTATTGTGAATCTTGTATCATATAACTCATTATAATTTTTAGGTATATTAATCGAGATTTTTGGATATCCTTTAATTAATACTGCCGAGAGTAATTCCTCTGTTTGGTCTAGCGAAAGGAGAAATGGTACTGAAATTTTTCTACTACTCCGTAGTTGGTAGCGGAAGTAAAGATGGCTTAACCCGTTGTGGGTGGCGTTGGTGACGGCTTCGTATTTATTGTTCTATGGATGCAATTTCTTCTGGGATTTGTTGAAGCGGAATTTAATGTATAAAGTCATGTATGCTGCTCTGAATTTGTACTTTGCCCAGATTCACAGGTAATATGCCGAGGTTGTCCTTGAGGTTCTTGATTTGGACTTCTTATTGTTTCATGCCGAAGGTACATCTGCAATATATTTTCTTTATATTAGGATTATGTTCAATATTCCTTTCTTCTACACCCACATGGATATTAGCTTATCTACGCACAGACGAAAAAGTATTCTATTGTCATTAACTGTACGAATATATTTTATATCCTTTCTATGTAGTGAGAACTGCAAAAAATGAAATCCACCAATCATAGTTCATATTTTGGTCACCCGACGACTATTATTTTTAAAATTTTAAATAAGTGACAATTCTGTCAAACTAATTGTCAGTATAGTTTTTAGTTATTGAACTTAAATATAATAATAATAATAATAATAATAATAATAATAATAATAATAATAATAATAATAATAATAATAATAATAATAATAATAATAATAATAATAATAATAATAATAATAATAATAATAATAATAATAATAATAATAATAATAATAATAATAATAATAATAATAATAATAATAATAATAATAATAATAATAATAATAATAATAATAATAATAATAATAATAATAATAATAATAATAATAATAATAATAATAATAATAATAATAATAATAATAATAATAATAATAATAATAATAATAATAATAATAATAATAATAATAATAATAATAATAATAATAATAATAATAATAATAATAATAATAATAATAATAATAATAATAATAATAATAATAATAATAATAATAATAATAATAATAATAATAATAATAATAATAATAATAATAATAATAATAATAATAATAATAATAATAATAATAATAATAATAATAATAATAATATAATAATAATAATAATAATATTTATTTCCAATTGAATTACACTTTTTTTAGGTACACATACGAAAATATATAAAATGAACGGAAATAAATATAAGATCCATAGAAGCCTGTATGGCTAGTGTATGGTTTCTCTAATATATTTCTGTTTTTTTTTATATTGATGTTAACATATTTTTTTGTCTATTTTATTTTGTATTAAATAACCTAAATAATCATTTGGAACATTTGCGACATTTCATTCCTAATCAAAATTTCAAATTAATCATTAATTTAGACATTATAAATTAAGCATAAATTAAACATTATAAACTAAATATCGTATTTTAAATTAAAAATGAAATATTAAATATCTCAAAGTAAACATTTTAAATTAAACGCTTTAAATTAAATAATTCAAATTAAACACTGTTAATAAAATATTCTAAATCAAAGACTCTAAATTACATATTTTAAATTAAATACAATATACATTAAAATAACTTATTTTTGTGTAGAATCAATAAATAATAGCATTTCTATTTTTATTTATACTATAATTAGTAATAATTTGTTAATTTAAATAAAAACTATGAAGTCAATTCAATTACGAGTATTAAAAAAATTTCCCAAATCTGACGGTGAATGGGTGATGAAAGTATCTGCCTTCCACGCGAGAAACCCAAGTTCGAGCCTAGGCTGGGGACTTAAATCTTTTTTTTTTTTTTCGTTTATTTTAAATTAAAAATTTTTAAAAGTCATAAATTATTCTAAATTAGTTATTTTATCTTAATAAACTAAAATATTTTTTTTTTATTTGTAAATTTTCGTTTGTGGGTCGCAGAAAAAATATACTGTACAACTCGAGGGGATCGTCAACATCGCACTCAGACGATTGAGCACTCCGCCTACGGCGTCGTGCTCAAATTTCGTCTTTGTGCGATATGGCCATCATCTCCACTCTTGTTGCACAAACTACTATTATGAATGGTCATTTTTTTGGTTTCAATTGTAACAGGATTGATAGATTCGATGATTTTAGAAGAAAATCTTGGAAGGAGTTTGTTTCTTTTAACTATTTTCGTTGAGGGTATTTTGGAAAAGAGTATATATTCAAAAGGAAAAACTTGTATTTCGTGCAAAACTTTTTTATTAATCAATGCAAAGCGCTTTCGGCTTATTTGCCATCATCAGTGCTCATCTACAAAAATTGTGGATGTAAACTTACAATTTAAAAAGATTTTAAAAAATATATTATAAAATCTGAATTAGACTTTTAAGTCAAAAGTTAAAATAGTATATATACAATTGTTTGAACAAATTAAAAATTACAAGAAACAAACAAAGTGACAAAAAACTGGTATTGGGAATAGTGAGTGTGGCATGAGCCCTTACAAATCAAATCTGATCCCCAGAAGCAAGTTAGCTTGTGTGGAATTAAGGAATCATGCCACCCTCACTATTCACAAAATTGAAAAAAGGTTAACAAATTAGTTAAAATTTAAAGAAATTTACAATTAGAGGGTGACTGTGGAAGATATATTGAAATTTGAATCTAGAATACAATATTTGATATGAAGAAAGTAAAACGCAGAAGGCCAAAGTAAAAAAAACTGAAGGTTTTTTTATATATTTTATATACATTATAATTATGAAAAAGTCTACCTACTGCCCACAACGTATCCAACAAGTTCCTGGTCACCCAATACAAGCCTTCGAGAGCCATCCCCTCCTAAACTCGATTTCACCCATCAGAGCCTACCTTTGGGACCATGGTACTCCTTTGTTTAAAACTTTTTTGTTCTCTATTTTGTCTCTTTTAACCATGAGCACGCTTGTTGAGTGATTTAGTAATTTTTAGGACTAAACATCAGATTCATCTTTAGGGACCGCGGGTTCAGTTGTACCATCTTGGGTTCTCTGAAAGAATGTTCTGCAGAGCCCGGGCTGGCACATCAGAATCACGCGAGTGACATTTTTGTTTTGTCTTGACATCAAAATAATAATATCATTTATATTAAACATTTATTTAAATTTAACTAACAATAAATTAAATCTTTAAATTCAATAACAAATTTTGATCTCCGTTAACCTCCAATCACTCGAATCACACTCGGAGAAACATGTTCCACACTGAGGTGAACGCACCTCCTTCTGTTGACATTTGACAAGTCAAAGTCTTCAAGTGTCTCTTGTCACCACTGTCATGTGGAAACGGTTAAACAACTTGAACCAAAATGAAGAGAGAAATTTAAATTTGAAAATATTAATATTAATAAAATTATGATTTAGCAAGTTGTAAATATCCCGAAATATATAATTTTGGGAGTGAGGATGACCAGGAACTTGTTGGATACGTTGTGGACAGTAGGTAGACTTTTTCATAATTATAATGTATATAAAATATATAAAAAAACCTTCAGTTTTTTTTACTTTGGCCTTCTGCGTTTTACTTTCTTCATATCAAATATTGTATTCTAGATTCAAATTTCAATATATCTTCCACAGTCACCCTCTAATTGTAAATTTCTTTAAATTTTAACTAATTTGTTAACCTTTTTTCAATTTTGTGAATAGTGAGGGTGGCATGATTCCTTAATTCCACACAAGCTAACTTGCTTCTGGAGATCAGATTTGATTTGTAAGGGCTTATCCCACACTCACTATTCCCAATACCAGTTTTTTGTCACTTTGTTTGTTTCTTGTAATTTTTAATTTGTTCAAACAATTGTATATATACTATTTTAACTTTTGACTTAAAAGTCTAATTCAGATTTTATAATATATTTTTTAAAATCTTTTTAAATTGTAAGTTTACATCCACAATTTTTGTAGATGAGCACTGATGATGGCAAATAAGCCGAAAGCGCTTTGCATTGATTAATAAAAAAGTTTTGCACGAAATACAAGTTTTTCCTTTTGAATCTAAACTACGTGCACACAGCTGTCAACCTTTTTTGGTTATTTTAAGAGTATATATGTTATAGGGACCTCTCACTTTTCGTTTCATCTGTTGATAGTTTTTATTTTAAGATCTCTGAATTTTTCTGTTTAGTACTTTGCATATTTCTTTCCTTTTCTTTCCGTTGCCTTGAGTGTAGATATTTGGTAGAGTTCTTTTAATATCGATTTTGATTCTAGGTGACCATTTAGAATGTCTATAGGTTTTAGTTGTGTCACAAAATGTATGGAATTGTAGTCAAGTATAGCAGATAACATTTGTTCTTTAATGTACAGTTTTGTCTTCTTTTCTTGAATTATCCTTAGGTGTTCCAGAATAGTAGAGTTAAAGCGTTCCATCATTCCTTTAGACTGTGGGCTGCCTGGAGAAGTATAGTGGATATAGATTTTATACATATCTGCAAATTCTTGCAATAGTAATTTTTTCAATTCGGCACCACTATCTGTTACTATCAGATGTATGATAAAAATAAGAAGAGCATTCGGTTGATTATGTTGGCTTTATGACATTCTTGTCCATATTTAGAGAAGCCATCCATGACTGTTCGCTGGTTTGAAATATGTCCAGATGAATAATTTTTATGGGATTAGATGGGGTAGGCGTTAGCATGAACCTTAGGCGTTCAGATTTAAACATTTTATTTTAATAATAAATTAACATCCTGTGTTTATAATTCTTTTATTTAATTAAAATGTTTATTTCATGTGCAATTATAAACTTGTTCCAATTTCACTTCAAATTCGATGTGTGTATTGCAATGAAAAAATGCTCCATTTTTATTTTAAAATCATTTTTAACACAGTATATAATTCTGCGGTGCTAATAATGTACTGCGCAGAATCCTGGTGTCAATGACTGGTTTCTGATTGTTGTTGCATATTTAAATTATTAAATAATGCAAATTGAAAACCATCTTTGAGTATTAATTCTACATAAACTCTGAAATTCTAATCATGGTCCTTTGAGCAAAAGTTATAAAATGGGGTTTTGTGGATTTTGCTCATATTTGTTGACCTGGCAAGTGTTGCATAGGTTCTTCTAGCCGACAAACACTCCTTTCTTTGTTTCTATACCACCAGTAGAGTTTACTGCTTTTCTGATATCCGTTTTTTGTCCTTTATGACCTAGTGTTGTAAGTTAATTCTTTTTTGATATTGTTGCCGTCTCGCGTCCGAACACGGCTACTCAGAATTTATTTGAATTTGTTCCAGTCTATCTCCGCTGGTAGGTTTCTTGGGTGTTTCTTGTTTGCTGCCATGCCATAATTTTAAATGTGATGTAGCGATGGTCGGCCAGTGTTTCCTCGTCCAGTACCTCCCAGTGTTTGATTTTTTCCGCGTTCTTTTCGTCCGATAGTGTTATATCCAAATTTGATTCCGAAGTTTTTTTCACGAATGTGGGCTTATTCCCTCTGTTATGGACAACCAGTTCCTTTGCAGCTACGTGGGTTAGGCAATGGGCGTTAAAATATCCAAAGATAATTAAATTATCTTTACTCTTACCGGCATATTTCATAATTCGTGAGGTATGACTTTCCCACTCCACTATAGGTCGTATTTGGTGTACTGCCACGGAACCCCTTTTGGCTACTATTTTTTCTACTTTTAGTTCTCTATTTAGTAGGTGCATGTCTGTTCTTCGAGTGGTATCTGGGAACCAGCCTTGATTTTCAGTAATTTTCTAATTTGGTTCTTGAGGACTGTGGCTAAAGCTGCATTGTGTACCAATTTTTTGGTGCCAAGGTTAATGTGCAAAATATTTCCCTATGGAGCGGGCGAATAGAATGACTTCACCCGGTTATTTATCAGCGCGATGGCAGAAGCTCACCAAATGGCCACAGCTCTTGGCGACATTATTAACTTGCACGAATTTGACCAGAGAGACTGGCTATCTCTAGACACCCCCCAATGACAACAACGGCAGGTTTTTGATGAGTTAATAACCTGCAGGACTTTGACGAGCGGAGAATATGGCTGTCTGTAGACACCGCTCAGCGTCAACCAGCAGGTTTTTGATGACGATATAACCTGCAGGACTTTGATGAGCTGGGAAGATGGCTGTCTCTAGACACCTCTCACCGGCAACCAGTAGGTTTTGACAAGTTGAGAGACAGGTTCTGTATACTCCTGAAGGATGTATAATGGGTTTTATGAGGTCTAAGTGCTGTGGAGCAACCCACCTTCCCCATCTTACAGATACAATGAATCAGCAAAAATTTAGCTCAGTGGTTTTTGGACACTTACGGCACTTAACTATTTACATGATGTACATTCCTTTAAAAGTACCTACCCCTGGCCGTCTATAGAGCCATGCGAAATTTGGGAAACTTGCTTGTGTCGGCGTGATGTCTTGACTCCTCACACAGGGGACAGTATTTTTTGTCACTCTTTTACTCTGTGGTTCGCAGCTCCGAAGTTCAGACATGAATTTTTTCGGTCTGGCCCACTACAATTGCCTTTTTTTAATATTTCAACCCCCTTTATCCCCGCATTTTTATTCAGATTTCTTTTTAAGAATCAATTGGATTCGTTCCCTTATAGAGCTTGATTTTTACTAAAAATTTCATGTTATCGCTTTTGGTTTTTGACTTCTATTTTTTTTATTTCAGCCCCCATTTTATTTAAATTTTTTTTTTTCAAAATCTGTAGGATTAGCCACTTACAAAGCTTGATTTTTGTTAAAAATTTCAAGTTGATATTATTTTTCTTTTTTGAGTTAGGAATGTTTTTAATGTTTTAACCCCCTTTTAACTCCCATTTTTATTCAGATTTTTTTCAAAATCAATAGGCCTCGTCTCCTTATAGAGCTTGATTTTTCCTGAAATTTTCAAATTGATATCGTCTTCCGTTTTTAATATTATCGTGCGGACAAAAAACGTGACATCGGACGGACGGACGAAACGAATGCATAAAACTCTTCACAGACTACTATGTGAAGAGTATAATAAGTTCACGGCATATAAAATGGTATATACGCACTTCGTAGATTAAATTTTGAATGAAAAAGTTATCCAAAATGAATTTTCCACCTTTTTAACATGATTAATGCATTTTTCTAATGTTCTCCATTTACATTTGAAACTGCCTTCAAAAATAAATTTCGCACATCAGGTAATTTAAATGTTGTATTTTTTTAAAGAAACATAATCTTTTAATTGTGACCAGATCAGTTCAAGAGGATTTAACTCTACGTGGTAAGGAGATAATCTGAAAATTTCAATTTCTTTTTCTCGGGCCATCTCGACTATAATATATTTTTTGAATTTGTTTTATGTTGCCTTGCTATTACGAGTAATTCTGCCTTTAATGATTTAGGAGGACTGATAATATTTTTAGAACGAAGCCATTTTTAAATATCTTCTTTTTTTATCTTGTTGTAGTTAGTGACTCCTTTAATCGACTGTGATAGGATGAATTATCCAAAACAATAACGGAGGTGGCTGGAATTTTTTTATAATGTTCTGAACCCAATTTTCAAAAATAGGGCCATCCATTTCTTCATGGTAGTCTTTTGTTTTCTTTGACTAAAACATTAATAAACCATTTGGCAAAAATCCATCGGATCTTCCAATTTGGGTTATTATTAAATGATTTCATTTTCGTTTAATTTTTTAATCCACAAGAGACCCCTTCCATGAAGGCTTGTTTTTTAGTTTTGATTGAGGTACATTGCCAAATTTTTGTTACTGTATGTCCAGCATTAACCCATGTTTCATCTAAATGAAATACTTGTTTATGCTGATTCCTTCATCCGTTGTTTGGCTTAAATAATTATGTCTACAAGCAATGATTTCGTCTTTCTCTGTTAAAAAGTTGTTTCTGTCACTTTTTTGTAATGAAAAGTTAATTCATTTAATATATTTTACAGATGGAAATATGATATATTTGGAAGAGTTTGGTTATTTTCTATTTCTGAGTGTAGGAATTTCATTTCGAAAGAAAAAAAAAGAATGTACCATTTGCCTTATTACATTCTTTACCCAAGTTTCAATAAAGGTCTTGTTTCTTCCTGGGATTTATTTCCATTGACGGTGTCTTTTTTAATAATACACTACCCGCTTAGATACTCCAGTAAAGGTATCACAGTTAGTGGCTATTTTATCCACAGAAAGTGAAACAAAGTCTTTTCGAAGATTATTAAATACATTAAGTACGATATGTTTTTTTTCTAAAGATAATGCTTTATGTCCACTAGGTCGTTTAAGCGTACTTGTGCTCACAATATTTTCTAATGCACTCGCCATTCTTATATAACTTGTAAAACTATAATATATACTAATACAAAATTCCGAATCAATTAAAATACATACGATACGGCTATGAATAAATAATCATATCATTTATCTGTCGCAAGAAAAGGTTTATTACAGTAAACACCATGGAAACATGATTAAATCTAAACGAAAAATTTTATTAGCTCGATCAGATGTATTAAAATTGTCATTTTAAGTACAAATAAGCATTGAAGGATGAGGTATTAATAAAATGTCTACTCTTGAACCTGTACTGCGTTCTACAAATTAAATTACTGCACTCTTTTCTTCTATAGACTATAGCACATCTGGTTCCCAAAGACTTCTCATCTGTAAGATTTATTTTTGTTTCCGCCGTAGCGTATTCTTGAAAACTTGTCGAAACAATGGAAATATTGTATTTATTTCTTTGATAATTCGTTATATTTGCTTGATTAAATCATAACTAATAATTAAAAATTTTTGTATTTCAGACAACATACGAGTTTGGTGGGAACTTTGTCTGGTCATGCCTCTTGGGTATTAAGTGTAGCATTTTCTCCGGATGGAAAAAATTTCGTATCTGGAAGTTCCGACAAGACTGTGAAAGTTTGGGACGTTACATCTAGACAATGTGTTCATACTTTTAATGAACATACAGATCAGGTAATATTTCAGTTTCGTTTTTCAAACTTACATTTTTTTATCATGTTTGTATTTTAGGTGTGGGGAGTAAAATACAACCCGGATAGTAATAAAATTCTTTCTGTATCAGAAGATAAAAGTATAAATGTTTATAGTTGTCCTACTTAGTTTTAAATAAAAATATATTTTTAATGAACTCATGTTTAATTATTTCACAAAACTATTCATTGGTAGGCAATATACTACCAAAGCACTTGCTTCCAGCGTTTTTTAGGGGTCCTAAAGTTGGTTTCTGCAGATTCAAGAAAATTACTCTTTTGAGTGGCTGTATTTGCATATTTGAACTTTTAATTCAAAATAATTTTATAACATATTATTCTGTATTGCAAAAAATAAAGGTACTTTACTCTTGAGTAAAATCCATATTTATTAACAAACCTTCTATACGGATAATGATATCTGATAGATGCATTTTAAGTTTTGCACCATGTAAAACTTTTTATCAGGAATACATTTTTTTTAAACCAATAATAAAAAAAAATTTCTTAATTTAAAAGTTATAAACAATTTAATTTGCGACAATTTAATTTAATATGCGATTTACAGCTAAAATAATCATTTTTCGGAAAAAAATATATTCATACTATTTTGTACATCTTTTTAAACCCTGCAACTTTTGTTTGAAACTTTTTTCATAATTTAACAAACAAACTTTTTATAGCAGTTTAAACAATTACATTTTTTAAAAGCTGAAAACATTAAGCTTTTTTGTGCTGATATTCGCAATCAGCGCATCAAAAAACATGATATAAACATAATTCCAGCCTTGGACAAAAAATGTTCATGGGAAGAGTGTAAGCCTATCGACTAATTATAATAGTTTATAAAAAATACCGATAAACCAAATAAATAGTAATAATAATGTAATGTGAGCCATTTCATTATTCAGTCATGCTCTTATTCTCCAAGTCGCTCTCTGTCTTATTTGGCCTTTGAGGCTCAACTTGTCCGATTATTATACATAATTAAACCCCTTAAGACCAAACATATGTGACGACTATGGCGGACACTTTCGCGAACATTCCTGAGTCATCGTGATAACGTTTCTGGTACATTCCGGATATTTTGGTGGAGGAACATTGTAGACCACCAATTTGTATATAAATAATGGTGGAGGACCAACAAAAATTATTAGTAGATAGACAGTGGTGAATATAAATAGTGAACAGTTCAAAAAACATTCGAAATGTATATAAATTAGAATGGTAGTGTTATAAATAAATAAGTGTTTAAATAAATTATTTACAAATAAACTGTTTAAAATGAACAAACATCACATTGGTGTCGAGAAGTGAGATAGTGTAAATAAATAGTGAACAATAATGGCTAAAAGACTGTGTGAATTAAAAGTGACCGAGCTATGTCGGGAGTTAGAAGATCGTGGGTTGAAGACGACAGGGAAGAAAGCAGAGCTGACAGAACGGCTTAAAGAAGCAATGGAAAGCGAAGGTTTGGATCCGGAAACGTTTATATTTTCGGATGATGCTTCTTCTATAATTTCTTCCGATATGAAAACCGAAATATCTTCTATGAAAACTGAAATTACTGCTGATGTTTCTTCTATAAAAAATGATATCTCCTCCTTAGAAACTAAAGTTTCTTCTGACATTTCTTCCTTAGATAGTAAAGTTTCTTCTTTAGAAGAAAATGTGTCTTCTGACATATCTTCTTTAAAAACCGAAATTTCCTCCGACTTGGAAAGCAAAATGTCTTTATGGAAAATAAATTTTCGTTTAATATTTCTTCCTTGGAAGAAAAAGTGTCTTCTGAAATTTCTTCCATGGAAAATAAGATATCATCAGTCGAGAATAAAATAATGTCTTCCGTTGAGGAGAAAATAAAAGAAATGGAAAAGAAGATAGAAGAACTGGAACATACAGAACCGGCCAAGGACGGTGAAATAAAGTGCCATGAGGTAGAGTCGAAGTTGAAATTGGAAGGAGCTGTAAACTCTTCTCGTATTAAAGCACCAACTTTTGACAGGAACATGTCATGGACGAACTACCTTAAGCAGTTCTAAACAGCTGTCAGAGCAAACGAGTGGCCTGAACGAGAAAAGGCAATAAATTTGACCATCGCCCTTCGAGGAGATGCTTTGGATGTCCTTCAGACTTTACCCGTGGAAGAGACAGATGATTTTGAACAACTCAAAAAGATACTAAATATGAGATATGGCCACGAACACTTGGAGCATTTATACCAGTCACAGTTGAAGAATCGTAAACAGAAACGAGACGAGACTCTTCAGGAATAAGAAGTAGATATTGCCAGGTTGGTGCGATTTGCGTATCCATCAGCTCCGGAAAACATGATGGAATGTTTGGCAGTCCAAACATTTTTTGATGGACTCCGTGACCATGAGATGCAGAAAACACTCCGCTTAGCTCGCCACAAAACATTGGTCGATGTATTGTCCGCTGCTTTAGAATATGAGGCAGCTACGCAGGTTTCTGGTAGATACATTAAAGTAAGGACTGTAAGAGAAGAAGAAGAGAAACGTAAACTCGACCAACTGGTAAACATGATGAAGAGCCTTACTGACAGAAAGATAAAGACGAAGTCCATCAGGTGCTGGAATTGCGGTAAACTGGGACATGTACGCAGTCGTGCAAACGCCCTAGGGTCCCAATAAATCAAGACAACACGCCGCAGGAAAACTAGAGCGGGTCGGCCTAGAGGGGGCAGCTTCGACCCGAAACCGTTCCAAAGACCCTCTCATACTGATAGCCTCTTTGAAATGTCGCGATGATAGTGTATACGTAGGCGAAGTCAATGGTAAAAAGTATACACTGTTGGTGGATACTGGAGCAACTAGGACCATTATACGACCAACAACCATAAAGAACTGTAAGAGACTTCTACCAACAAGATTGCGACTGCGGACTGCCACAGGTGAAAGTGGCAATCCGCATGGGGAAATCCAGGTTCAATTCGGAATTGGTACAGAAAAGTTTACTCATACTGTTATTGTCGCTGATTTTGGAGATGTTATTCTTGGAATGGATGTAATGAACTTACATGGTTTCCAGTTGGACTTTAAGAACAGAGTTATCAAAGTTGGTGCCGAAGAGGTATTCCTACATCCATATGGGGACAGTACCGTGCCAGTTGTTGTACAGGAGGATACAGTGGTACCTGGCAGAAGTGAAACCGTTATAGTAGCACGGCTTCAAGAAACTTGGAAGAAGTAACACCTGTCATGATGGAACCTTGGAACCACGATGAAGAGGTTGGACGAGGTATTCTGATCGGAAAGGGGTTGGTCACGACTGCTAAAGAAATTCCAGTCCGTCTCATAAACGTTAATGATCACCCAATTATCATCAAGAAAGAGACCAGAATCGGAACGTGTGTACCAGTAACCTCCATAATTCGTCAGACAACAACTTCTGATAATTCCAATGACAAATTTGAGCAAATTATTGCAGTTGCTGGTCGATCTCTGAATCAATTAGAGAAAAAGAAAATAAAGGAATTTCTTCGACGATATCGTGAAATTTTTATACCAAAAGGAGGAAAAACAGGAAGAACTTCTGTTGTAAAACACAAAATTGACACTGGTGATCCCAGGCAGCAGACTGACGTCATTATTACATCTTATTTTCGTCATACAGGACGTCATTTATCCTCTGAGAACTAACGTGATAATGACGGAAAAATGACGTGAATATGTCACAGCCCAATTGACGTCATATTTAGACGTCCTTTTCACGTCTAAATATGACGTATTTATGACGTTTCCTAGTAGTCTTTATAACGTCCTTATGACGTTTTTATAACGTTGTTTTAATGTCACCTTTGTCATTATTTGAGACGTCACCATGATGTTATATTTGATATTGTTACTCCTTTGAAACTTTTCTATAGGAACTGTGGGTCACTTAATAAAACAAAATTAGAAAATGAAATAATTATAATTGAAAAGAAAAAACAGTTTAAATACACGAAATGTTATTGGCACATTTAATTTCTAATGATTTTTCTGTGAGTGCCGCCATTTTAAACTATTTCACGAACCTGGGAACATTTTACTAAACAGCCTATGAATTTCTTTTATCTAAGCTATGAATGTAATAGATATAAAATAATTAAAGAATAAGGAAAATATAGATATAAAAATACTACGCGTCACATTCCTTATGCTGGGTTAATACTGATATAACTTTTTTCACTTACCTTCTCTTTAACGACAATCCTGAATGCACACGGGCCACGATCCACGATGCACACACATGGCCGATGCAACAATCCGCGATACCGTTCTCGTGCTTGCTCGATCGGCTCGAACACACACACGAGCCATACTCCACAGACCGATAACCACAGACAGACGCAGTCATTTGTCACGTGGTGTCACAATCTTTATGCATTTTAAGGGCCAGATTAAAACCTTAATAGACCTAAGAGTTTTAAACCATAATTGTTTAGGCCATATCATTTTAATTAATAAAATGTATTGAAATCACATTTAATATAAACCTTAATTTAATAGTGACAATAAATTGAGGTCACACTGACGTCGAATTTGTGACGTCAAAAAGACGTTAAAGAAGTGACGTCATAATCACCTCATTTTTTGGTAACATGACGTCGATGACCAAGAATTACCAAATTATGTCGTCAGTCTGCTGCCTGGGATGCCAGGCCGGTTCGTCAATCAGCTCGAAGATTACCAAAAGAGAGAAAGGAAGCTGAAAGGATTATTCAGGAAATGAAGGAAGACAGGGTGATAGAACCTTCTACCAGTCCATGGGCCTCTCCAGTAGTCCTGGTCCAGAAAAAGGATGGAACTACGAGTTCTGTGTGGATTACCGTCAGTTGAACAATGTTACCAAGAAAGACAGTTATCCTCTTCCTCGAATCGACGATACATTGAACACATTGGCCGGAAGTAAACTATCTTCTACCTTAGACTTGAAGTCTGGATACTGGCATGTGGAAATGGACCCAGTAGACAAAGAAAAGACAGCTTTTACCACCGGATCTGGATTGTGGCAATTCAATGTCATGCCATTTGGACTATGTAATGCCCCCGCGACATTTGCAAGACTTATGGAAAATGTATTGAAAGGGTTATCATGGAAAACGTGCCTGGTATATTTAGATGACATTATAGTCTTGGGGAAAACATTTGAT